TACACACTGGCAACAACATCAGCTGACTAGATCAACGTAATTATTTCTCCTACGAGTGCCAAAATGATAATGTATCAACTGCCTGTATGAGAAGTAGGAAAGAGAACTGTATGGAATTTCAATTATGCTTCTTTTAACAATTTTAATGTCACTGAAAAGATAAAAAATTAGTTCTACAAAAATAATTTTTGTTTATAAACAATGGAAAATGTAACTGAAAGAGTGATGGTTATCTGAACTATATCAAGGCCTGTTAAAGAAAGACCCTATAATATATTTGGAATGGTACAATCTTCTTAAAATGATATTGTGTATAAGACAATAAAATCTGCAAGCAATGTGATGTATCATATGAAATTATGCCTTTCTTTTCATTACTGAATTCAGAAGGGAAGCATTCTACTATATTGGAATCCTCTAACCATAACATGGGCTACAAGCAAGCCTCAGAATGGCAATGCTCAAAATCTCTCATACCATTTCTTTAGCTAATTTGGCAATTAAACTACTGATTTCCTCAAGGTCTGTGACAATGGTTGATTCATTATATGAACATTATGTTGGGTACTGCATACTGTCTGAGGTATATTTAATAAGATTTCCATTTTTAACTTTGACACATATAGCTGTATTTTACAATGAGATAATAGATATAACAACTATCTAAATATAATATCCATAAAACTCTTTTTTTTTATTTCAATTAGGCCAACATTTTCAGTCCTAAGACCAACAACAAGGACTGCCATATACAGCGCTATCCTGGCCCCTACTCAGCAGTTAAATAATATTTTAAACCAAGTTTCTTATTTTAGATATAAAACCTTTGATATCTTCGTGATAATTGTGTATGAGAGCCCTTATTACCAGTCTTAGGACTGAAACATGTTGGGCTAACTGAAACATTAGGCAGTTGTAAAAACCTATTACATGATTACTTGTATATATTTAATATACACCATATTTTAGGAGCCGGCTCTTTTCCCATCTTCAGGTGACTGGTTGTTATTATGCTGACAGATGTTTATTTCCCCCCTCCATGTTAATGGCAACAGAATTCAACCCAGAACCTTTACAATACCTATCCAGCATGCAAAGTCCAATTATCTAGTAGTGGTTTGTGTACTACACCAGTATTCAAAAGGTCACAGGTTAGATCTAACCATTGCCACAAATATCAGAGCAAGAAATAATAAAAATCTGTGTAATGACAATCAGTTCATTTGAAGGAAAGAGTACAGCCTAACTTCAAAATGCCATGTGTATGAAATATATTTCAGACAGTGGATAATGTCCAACACAATATACATACAACTGAACTACATAAAGAAATGATTTATCATGGAGATAACGCTACAACAAAATTATATGCATTATAAATACTGTACAAATATCCATTAGCAGTATTTGTTAATATTAGTAATAAGACTATCTTACATATGCATATGGAGAACTGTTTATTCATGAATCTACATGCAATCACAACTGTGGCCAGGTTTTGATTTGGTGTTTCAACACTGGAAATTACTTTGAATTATGTATATTCTGGATTGGATTCACAAATGTTAGAATTTAAAATAAGAAACTCAGGATTTCAGTAATTTATGAGATTATTGGTAATACACACTATGTATTATCTCTTCTTGATTGGCTATCATCACATGGGATAATAAGCATGGTTGTTGCTATTAGCAATATTACTAATAGGTTATGCAATAATGCTGTATCATCTACCAGGGCAACAGAGATAAGAGAGTCAACTTTCTTGTGATTCACGAATTACCTGATGACTCAAGAATCTTCAATGGACTCAATCATCAAGAGAGATTCACTGCTGCAAGTAGACTGTCAATTCATTTACAATGTAATGTCTCTATGTTATAAGTAAAATGTACTTTCATATTTGTTATTTAGACATGTTACAGAGAGTTACTTGTAAGAACTTACTGAATGTTTATTCATCTTACTCAATTGCTGCATGACCAAGTAGTATTAATGCCTGGCTATACGGATTCTATTATTTCAAATTTAAAATCTGATGTAATTGTAAAAAACAGAAAGATAGGGTTTAATCCAGTTTATTAAAATATATTTTTTTCAGTGACAAATCTTGTTTTTGTTTGGACACTATAAGAAGACTCTGCTATACTGTGCAGCCAATATGTGAAGCAACTTTCAGTAATATGACAATGTACAAAGCTTTATTCTGGTACATAACTGAACAATTTCCCCAAAAAGCAGAACATTTTCTGCATAAATATGAACCCTTCTTGTCAGGCGGAATAAAGGAAGAGATGAAATAAAATAGTGATGCCACCGTTTTCATGAAGAACACTTCTGTGCAACAAAGACAATTTATGCAAATGGCAGTGCTGCCACATTGTGGTCAATACCACATTCTCCATGGCCACTGTTGTCAAAGCATAAACTTCCTCTTCCCTCTCAATCTCAAACCACCATAACTAGCTATAGGCCCATTACATTAGGAAATTAAATGTGTCAACATAAGAGGCATTCTTGGCCTAAATTTCAATCAAGTTAAGCTTACTGCCACATATATACGATAGGAAACACCTTCTGAATTTGATGTAACATGCCACTTGTTCGTTAGATATATTCAGTCAGTCTGTCTTTCTGATAATTACCAAACTGATGGGATCATGGCAACATGAAAATTTAGAAATAAGTTTCAAATGTTGCCACATAATGCCTGAAAATATATACATTTGAACAGTAGGTAACCACACAAGCTGAAGATTAAATGGACAAATGGGATACTAACAATATTCAATATTAGACCAGAAATTTATAACTTAAAAACCACATGGTCATATCCCATGAGCTTGGAGAATACCAGGGGATGGACTGACAATTTGTCCTCTTTATAAAGAAATACCACACACAGTCATCAACTGAACACAGCATTAATGAGTGTTTCAGCAGAACTACACATTCATGTGCTTCCATCATATTCACAATTACACCTCATGAAACACACTGAACACTATTTCTCATCTTGTGCCACATTTACTTATGGTTCCAGTCACTGCAGCACTTTTTTAAAAGTACATTTATATTGAGAAAAATATCATTTTTGTTTGTACATAACTTCACTTCCATGCGCACCTTCACATTTCACAGTAAAGCCGTAAGTAACAATTGACCATCATCACAACAAAGCCAGTGCCATCGCTGGTAACCACTGGCTACTTGCTAAGTGTCACAATTCTCGATGTTGTTTTAATCAAACAGTATAACATGCTAGTTTCACTTGATCTAAAATATTTCTTCTGCTAATATCATCTTGTTCTAAATTATGATCTATTGGACTAAAAACTTATGTATCATAATAAACATAATGTACAGCTCTTAATTTACAATGATTTATCAATTACGCTGTTTTCACAGGATCAATCTATTATATTCCAATTTATAAGGTTTGCAGAAACGTTTATGATGTTCAGAGACAATGAAATAAATTTGTTGTCAAGACTACCTAGAAATAGTTGCACTTCTGATTACAGCATATATGAAAACAGTGACTCATGTCAATGAAGGGCAGAAACAATTTGGCCAACAAAGCTAAAAATTAAAAATGCATGATATCTTTTAAATTGGTTCCCTGCTTCAAACTATTTTATTATTGCCAGCTACACTGAACTAATCTTTATTTTAATGCCTTGTTCTAGTATCCCAGGAGGTAAAACTGTCTTATATTTGAATGGCTGTGAATTGGCAACTTAAAGAGTAAGAAAATGTTTCTAGTTCTCAAATAAAAGTTAACAAATCTGGGGATCCAAGGCAAATGAAGTAGCTGAGGAATGGACAATATTATATAATAACAAATTTCATAAATTTATAAAACTCACCTTCTACTTCAGGTTAGGTAATCAGGGAATGATGGACTGAACATGCAGTTCAAGACGGTAGCAAAATAAATGCATACAGAACGTTGGTAACAAAATACTCTGGAAGACTAAGAAGGAGGTGGGACAATAATATTACAATATATCACAGAGAAACATGATGGCTGTGAACAGGGTTAATGTGACTAAGGATATGTTTTATGGTGAACTCTGACATCGGTAGTAGTACAGAAACTTTGACTTATATTGCAAGAGGGTGAGAGCTCTAAGTTTTAAACTAAAATCTGGATGGATGAGAGTCTGGTTGTATGTAAACATACTAGTATGTGTCTGAAGAATATAAAACAGGAAGTCATGGTGGTCACAATATTTAGCAAACTAATGACCAATATTCACACATAGAAAATTAGAATTCTTTCTTGAAGGTGCAAACATTATTCTTTTTTTTTTTTAATTTCAGAAATTTTTTAAATCTAGGCACCCCCCATTTTTTTAACTTGGAAATGTTCTTTAACGTCTGTCTGTATCATCCACAAAGGGCCCTATCTCATCCTTTACAATACAACTGCAGCCTCCTCTTCCCTGTCAGTCATCGGACTGATTCATATACAGGTTGACAATCATCTGTTCTGGCTTCACACTTATCATTGCAAATCAGATACACTGCAGGAGAAATATTTTAGCCAAAGAACACATGAGAGACAGTAGTAAAATGTGGCACCACTGAGGTCATTTAGCTAACAAAAGACACAAGTACATCTTCAACATTTGACATTTCCACCTTTAGCAACATTTATATTGCCCTATGCAGATGTTTCAAACAATTTGATACAACACATCCCAAACAACCAGCCACCAACTGTACTACAAGGAGCTGTTCTCATGGCATCTCCACGCAGCTCATCACACCAAGGGAATTGGTGACATAGCACCACTAGTTAGAGAAGGGGTAACAAGGGAAGGTACACTGATTTGGTAATGATCTAATTGCCACCTAAAGGTACTCCCGATCTTAGTGGGTGGCAATTAGACAAGATGGCTGAGGCAATGCCAGACTCACGGCTATCAAGAAGAGAGTTAAGGATAACACTTTGTCGACCCCTGCTCTGGATGTGTTCCCGCCGTAATAAATACCTGTATTGCTGGGATCTATGAGGCACAGGTAGATTGGACAAAAGCAATTAAAAATAAATAAATGGATGGGAGGTTTGGAAGGAAAGAAAAAAAAAGTAAAAAATCACACACAAATAATGCATACATACAAGACAAACAAACATAACTACACTTTTTATATTACCTTACAAATGGCAGCACTGAGGCATTTCATATACAATATAACAATAAAACTGCTTTATCTCACCTCTATGTCAATTACAGATAGCAAAATATGATGAAGAAGGCAAGGGTATAATTATTGTAAAACAAAGACTGAGTTTTAAGCTTCAACTTTTCACTATTAATCAAAGAAGCATTCTTATCACAACAGCAATATCTATTAAATATAATTTAATTCTTTATGATAAACTTAAAATTCTTATAGTTCCAAGCCATAAACATATTAGAGGATGAATATAACTAATAATGGTTCTTTACTGTCAAGATAGTTTTGACTGACTTACTTTTACATCAGGGACAGGCATATTCTTTATATTAAAAGTTGCAAAACATTTCACCAAGTATGATAATTATGAGATCAAAGAATTAGCTTCAAGTGTTAGAGAACAAAAGATAACACAACAAAAACAGAAAAACCAGTGCTCACCAACATTAAAATAATGAAAAGTCAGTAAAGTCAGTCAGTCAGTCAGTCAGATGGCTGGTCAGATTGTACAAGAGTCTTTGTACACTGCAGTATGAATTTGGATCTTCCATCTTTTTATAGAGAGAGCTGTTGCAGCTAACCAGACGGGTATGTCAGTAAACAGAGATAAGAAATGTCTGAAAGCTACTTAAATAGATTCATAAGCTAATATGTGAGGGAATGCAACAAATATATAAATGAAACTGAATTCTCTTGCTGGAGACTGGCTTTGGTGAAATCTACAGGGTGATTCTCTCACTAGGAAACCCAAGCATTCCTCGTAACATTTTAATTTTTATATGGTTCCCTATGAAAACTGAGATGTATTTGCCTTCTATGTTGCAAAACAAGGTCTGCCTAGAGCATACACAGAAAATGACCCCCTCCAGTGTCTAAGCACTTTTGTATGCGAGTCTGCAAATTTGGCGAAGACATCTGGTAATGTGATACCGGTAATGGCAACAACCTCCCGCCATATCGTGTCTTTAAGGGCGTCAACTGTTGACACCTGATGTATTGATGTATACATGACCCTTCAGTAAACCCCACAAGAAGAAATCAGGTGACGTAAGGACTGGTGATCTTGGCGGCCACAAAATGTTTGGAAATTAATCAGTCACCAAAATAACTTTCAATTCCCCTCATACTTGTATTAGATGTGTGGCACATTGTGCAATCTTGTTGATAGTAACCATCTGTTAATTTGTCATCTGTTAACTGATTCACAAATTCACTGAATATGTCAAGTACATCTCCATGGTAACAACTTCATTGAATATGAGACCGATAACTCATCTACAGGACAAGGCACACCACAGTCTGACTTTCTTTGAATGTAAAGGCTACGTATGAATTTAATGTGGGGTTACTTCTGCTCATACATGCGTGTTTTTGAGTTTAAGCAGCCACTCAGCTGAAACCAGGCTTCATCTGCAAACCATGTAATGCCCAAAATCCCCTGATGTTCCCCAACTAAACATTGGAAACATAAACAATATGTACACGTTTCTCCAGATCTGTTGGAAGCAACTCATGGACTATGGACACACAATATGGGTGCAGTTTCACTTTTTTTTTTTTTGGCAGCTCTTCAACACATGGAATAAGGAACGTCAGTTTCTTGTGAAAGACTTATTCCATGTGATTTTTCATAAGGAACCATACAAAAATTAAAAAGTTATTGAGGAATATTTGGGTTTCCTGGCAAGAGAATCACACTGTATCAACACATTTCAACAAACGGCTTAATACTGTTTTTCTGTGAGATAAAGGTTAAGTTGACTAGGATTGTGCAGAACACTTCTTACATAAGTAACTATGAGTAACAAATCACTGTAGTATACGGCCCCTCAAAATGTAATACCCGCTTTCCTTTCCATAAGCATAAAGTACCCGACTCATAATCTAGAGGTAACAAGTTCAAATCTTTGCCATGGAATTCAGAGTTCTGAGACTTATCTTCATCTTCCACAATCTATGCATGAAAATCATACCTTGAAATAAGCTGTGAACACTTGCAACTCACCATTCATATTCATTCTATCACCTTATTTTATATAACTTCTGAAGTTGGTAAAACATCCTTAAATAGCATACACCTATCTTGTAAGAGGTTAATGAGACAATATGCTCCTGCACACGCAGAGTATACAAGTTCTGTGGGTGTCTGGTGTTAAACAGTCACAAAAGTGCAATTAACGATTACAAGAAGGTCTATACCATGAAACATTTTTCTATTCATATGACAAAAGTTACAATGATGGAACAAGTTTTAAGCTTGTTAGAGAACATACAAACTTCTAAGAGTTAGCGGTGAGTTGATAGAGATTGCAGGCTATTGCAGAAAGAGGCAAAAAGAAGTTGCTGGAGCCTATATGGGTATAGTGTTCAATCAAATTTTGCAACCTCTGGGGAAGTAGTCTTCTATGTCCAGTCAACTGGGACTAAAAGAATGTCCCTTCCAAGAACTGTGCACATGCTAGGCATGTTATCGCACTGAAAGAAAGTTATGCATATCATGAGCACTGCCAGAATTTTAAAATAGTAGACACTATATTCTGGGTCTTCAGAGGGCAAATGAACATGTGCTTAGGCCCTTGCATAATAAAACAATGCACCCTTTGAGAGTGAGAAATTACGGATTCATAATTTACTGAGGAGAAGGACGGTGATGCTGTAACCGTAAATCTGAAGCATTACTGACACACTACCTGATGGGCTTCCTTAGTGCCATTTGACAACTCTGTCATGCCAGAAACTTGAGTCTCAAAACACAACACTAACAAGAGAGAGCTACAACTCATACAGAGAGGGCAGCATTAGGCATGTTGTGACAGCTGTTCCAACAGCATCTCATTTCTAAGGGAACAAATTTTGCACTCTCTAGATCTCACAATGTCTGATGTCTACCTGTGGGGTTTTCTGCAAGAAAACGCTTTCCTGATCCCATACCAATTGCAGTGTACCTCTTATAAAGAGGATTGAAGAAGAAACAAACAAAAACTAAAATCAGAAAAGGTAGTTCTCAGCTAGGATTCAAACTGGGTACCTCCCTAATACAAGTCAGATGCTTTACCACTTTTCCAACCATAACTCTAATATACATTTCAATATGACATATATGAGATATGTGGCTAGCACTTCATGCACAACAACCAACACATTAAACTTTTTGTTTCTGTTTCACATTACATGCAAGAGAACTGAGAAATTTTACTTAATGGTTCACTTGACACATTTTGCCCCTTGTCCTTTACAATTACATCTCATCTGAAATACAAGTAATTCTGAAAAGGACATTTTAAAAAAGAAATCTGTCTAATCGTAATCTTTAAATTGAATAAGTTACATGGTTCTCCCAATAAAATTAGGTCAGTCATGCCCACACATAATGCAATCAGAAAGGAACATGGTTACAGTGATCCCAATACACACAATATTGTATAGTACGAGTATACAGGCATCTGGTTTCAGTCAATTCCAGTCAGACTTAAACATATGACAGGGAAATGTGTCAGGGAATCTAGTACATCCCTAGTAATAGCGACAATAATAGGTTTTTACATTCTGTGACTGTCATGGCTATTGCAAGTATACTTCACTCTTACATACAGTTAGTAGCATGTGGTACAAGGAACATTATACAGCTGAATGCTGTATACTATGTTGGTGGGACTGTGATCTGAGCAGCAGTGTAACAAGTTTTATCTTACATGTAACACAGAGACCAAAGAGGCATATGAAATGTTTCTTCAGGATGGAGACCCAAATGTTAATGAACTGACAGGATTGATTGATTTTCTACGCAAAAAGAACCTGTTGTCACCAACAACAAGACGGGACGTGAAACGTAACCCAAGAAACAATTTGAGTTCATTTATTTTTCCCTCTATTGTTTTATACAATATAAAGCTGCAATGTGAAAGGAAAATATTACAAATATATAATTTAATTAACGTAAGTAGTCACATTGACCGATCACAGTGACCCCGCGGTTTAAGGCAAGAACTGTCTTTGCTCGCTCGGACTCTGGGATCGTGGGTTCGAATCTCACTTGAGGCATGGATATCTGTATGCGTTTATTCTGCGTTCGTGTTGTTCTGTGTAAAGGTAGCATCCTTGCGACGGGCTGATTCCCCGTCCAAGGAGTCCCACCGACTGTGAATGGAGTAAGGAACTGGAAAGGCGGCCAAAAACCACAAGGGCTGTGGAGCCATGGATAGATAAATAGCATCAGTTATTGAAAATGCAATGTTGCTGAACACGTACAACATTAATGTTAGGTCATACGTCAATGGTGATCGAGTATAAGGGAAATTAGAGTCGAGCTGGTCGCTTCAGTTTTGTGACCAGGCTATGGGCTACACAAGTGGTAAATCGAATTTCGATTTCCTGTGGGGAGGCAGGGACTTCTCTCTTTACCCCTGTGTCCAGATCTATTCTGGGGCCCACACGGCCTCTTTTCGAAGGGTAAAGGAGGTTAAGCGGCCGGTGCGTGAGCTGACTATCATCTCAACTTACTGTCGAGGTTAAAAATATGTGGAATATGTGTTAATGTGTTAATGAACTGACAGGACATAAACATATGGTACTTCTTTTGGCTTTGTATGTAAAAGAAAAAAGACCAGGACTGGATCTGTCTCCCTCCTCAGGTGGGTAGGGAAGGATAAACCTACTCAATTGGGGCCATTAGAAACACCTAGTCTCAATCACTGGACAAATCTGTAGTCTGTGGAAAACAACCTATGAACACCCAACAATCGGTTCCATCAGTGGGAGATAAGAATAAAATCACAGTAAAAGACATGACAGAAAATATGTGCCAAGCATGCACATGTCAACAATGTAAAAAACAGAAGTATACATTAAATTCCAGGAATTCAGTTAAAAATGAAAGTATAAACTTGGATAATGCATGCCTAATCTGTGTGAATAAAGAATTGTGAAGCTAGGGCGACTTCCGGGAATCAGACTAATACCCGGAGCAAAACCTGCAGAAGTAGTGGAAGCCACTAATGTTCATAAAAACTTACATTTTTTATTTGTTAACCTCTTCATTGATGAGGGGAATGCATATGGGAGAAATATCCAAACTGGGTTGGCTGATTGGATTGGTTGAACATGCCATATGAGCTGATTCTTTGTACTTTCTATATCTACTGTTACTTTCAACCTCCAAGATCCTAGCTTCATCCCAGCTTACCCTATGACCTTCTTCATATGCATGCTGAGCCAACCTGGATTTCTCTAGAAGAGCCTGCCTGAGGTTGTGCCTGTGTTCACAGATTCGCACAGCCAGCAGTCTGCCTGTTTCAGCAATGTAGCTTCTGCCACATTCATAGGGAATGCTATAGATGCAATGTGCCGTCTGTTGAGGATCCCTTTTTGGTCTCGATCTCACGAGCAAAGATCGTAAAGTTTGTCTAGCTTCGAAGACAGCTGTGGTCTTTTGTCTTTTACATACCAGATGATGGGTGAAGTCCAAAACAAGCCAAAAGTAGCACAGTATACATCATCATAAATATATGGGATCATTATTCAGAATATTCTGATCAAAGATGATATATTATGACTAACTTAGTAAAAGTTAAAGTTTTCCATGTGCTTAATTAGTTAGGTACTATGCCATGAAGACATACTGGGGAGTCAAAGCAAGTAAAACTATCCATGTAACGGGCCGTGAAGGCCCATAGGGTTGTGAAATGTTGAGGGTGCCACATTATCTAGACAATCGGCCTTACTCGCCGGCCACGCTTTACTCCCCGGTATTTAATTAATTCCTGGTACTTGTGTCTGTCAGAGGCTCAGTCGTCCCCAGGGCCATAGTGTGGCTGGAAGGATTAGGTCAAACTGAAATCCAATGACCTCATCGGGACTTGAACTTGCAATGTTCTAGCTTGTAGCATAGTGCCCCCGAACTGGGGAGTAAGAATTAAAAAATATGGGTACGTGAAAAAATGTATTTCAGAATGCCATATTTTACTGATAAACAGTATTATGAAGGAAACCTTATTATTCCCAAACAAAACGTTTTCTGTAATCATAGCACACCTTTATAAAACAGAAAGCGTATAACTCGCTCACTCTGATAATGATACTGGGGGCACTAATTATATTCTGGCAGGGCTTCTAGCCCGCAGAGGACTCAGGCACAAACCCAATTTTACATAATAACTGACAGAGAGATTTAAAAGGAAAAGTTAACTATTTTGTTCTATGTAATCTCGGAACATAAACTAAATGGCAGAAGAATAAGACTGGAAAAGGTAATGAGTCTGATTCATAGGGGAGCTCTCTGTTATTCCATTGTGTCCATGTGTCTTTTCTTTTATATTGTGACATGATGGAATCATTAACACAAGAAACTGCCTGCTGCATGGTAACAGCGGGATAAAAAAGTGTCCATAACAATGTATATGTGCACAACAATAGAGGATATGTTGGAAGTGGTGTCTTCTATGCCATTCATGCTGACGCTACATGGCAGGTGCCATCAGGAAAAATTAGACTGTGATAGCACGGAGTAGACAGTGATGGCTAGATCATGAGTTGCAGATGGGAAGAAACTGCAAGCCAGCAATCATACAGTGAGGACATGAGCACTGAGGGAACCTCCACTGTTAGCAGCCATATCCTAGCAACATCTAGTGAAAACTGTTACCAAACAAGAACTAGTGAAGACTACATTAAACTGAGACAGCATGTGCTGTAATTGATGTGTTAAGTGTGTAGATAAGTGATAATGTTATAATAACTTGTAACAAAAGGATTCAATAAATCCGATCACCAATGCAAAGCCTGTGTCCAGTCACTAACATGTGACAGTATTTATTAAAGGCAAGTCACTGGATTACAAATTTCTCCAGTAAATGATGGAACACATTCTGTTCAAAGAAGTATTATTCTTATCATATAAGCTCAAATGTTATGCCATGTGCATGCTTTGATTCTGAATCAAAAACCTAATTAGCTCAATTCAGGGAAAGCTTATTAAGTAATTTTTCTCCATATCTCTTCAATTATATGGCTGGAGTACACAATTAGAGAAACATCTGTAATGTTTTGTACTACAAGCCACAGCTCAACTGCCAACTGAACCCGTGGTTTTTAGTCCACAAGTGAACTATACCAACCAAGTGACTGCTGCTTGTTAGCAAAGTTAGTGCCAACTTTAGCGGATAGAGGGTGTTACGTGGTTAGTGCAACGAATCACCATGGCCGTTAATTTCGGCTTTCTAGACTGGTTGCTCTACTACTAACACAGATTACTGAAACCACTGACAAAAATATCTTAATCTACAAAATCAACCCAAACTACATATGAATACAAAATGTAAACATGAAACTGTTAAGCTCCACATAAGCCTTCCTGCATACTAAAGCAATGGGAAATGTTGTGCAGTTCCACTGAATATTTGTTGTATGACTGAAATCACTGTTCCATTTTCCCACATGTAATGTTGCAGTAACTTGCCTGCAACAGTCATTTCATCTTTCCAATGTGTACTTACCTCTGGCAGTCTTAATAATAACTTCCCCGGGCGTACTGAAACCAATTTTGTTGCGGGCTCGGAGTTCTATTTTGTAGTACGTGTCAGCAATTAGATTTCCCAGCTTATATGTTGTATGCTCTGCAGACGATAGTTCCCTAGTTTCACACTGATATTCCATGGCTTTCCAGAAACCTTCTCCTTGTGTCACCTGTTCATAAAGAGTCTTTACAATATATAGTCACTTCATCTCATGCATATATAGTGGGACAATTAGAAATATAAATATATATATATATATACATGCATGCATGCAAACAGACAGACAAGCAAGCAGGCTAGAAGACAAACACTATATATATATCTGTGTGTGTGCGTGTGTGAACAAATGCACTTCCAATTTCCATATTCATTCCTTATGAATTTAAAGTCCAGATATTAATTTGCCAATAGAAATAAATATACTACAGTATTAGCAGCAGAGGGACATATATATTTTCACACTTCATTTAGCTACAAAACAAATCTTCCAAATAATAGTAACAGAAATTAAAGAAATCCATACATTATGTTGCAAAAAAAGTTCAAACTGTACTCCATGTGAAAGTAACATGGGTGTTGCGTTGCACTCAAATTTTTCCAGCTATTTCTGGTGAAGATCATGAGAACAGGCTAACTCCATTCAAGTGAGATCACTCTAAAACTTTTCATTGTCACATTCATTAAGGAATTAGGTTTAAACTACTGAATTTAAAACATAACATGTTCTTAAGCTCATTTTATTTCATAAGTGTAAAATCCAAAGATCATAAATCTCAAGGTAGACTTAGTAAATAACATCACATGGTACACACTCTTAAACCAAAGAAATGTAAGAATACAAGCAAAGCAGCTGAAGAGAAAGGAAAGAACGTTTAATTATGTGTACACTCATTTCAACCCACTGTGCCCAACAAAGGGCTGCACTTACTGGGCAGTACTTGATGCTATACATATCAATAGGTTCTCCATTGTCTGCAGGAATTCTCCATGTAAGCTCATAGTGATCTGAGTATGGTGACATAACCACACCATCTTCTCTAGGGTTTGAGAGGATACGGGGCTCTTCTGGGTAGGATCTCTTGGGCATGGTGTGATGTTCACTGGCTGCCCAATCTCCAAACCCTACGTCATTCTGAGCAGCAAACCTAAAGTTGTAGGTTGTTTGTGGCTCCAATCCTTCCAAGATGTATGGAGAATCTGTACAGAAATCATCACAATTTTTCTGCCTTTTAATGCAAAGAAAGTTTTCATACAGATTTGTGGGTATGCTTATGATACATGTTCATACCAAATTTCATGTAACTAGATATAATGGTTTGTCACTGAGCACTACAAAACACAACATTACCTACAGATCTAAAATGATATTCAGCCATCTTGCTTGAAGGCAGGGCAACTTGCACTGCCAAAATTTCCCAAAATGAAACAACACGGAGCTGTCATGTCGTTGCTTCATATCATACAAATATAAAACCTCAACTAAAGATGTATATTTTAAAATATATATTACCACACTAAAATTCATGGTTCTACAGTAAGTTGGATTAGTGCTGCTCCCATCTCTGAAGCTCATCTGGCTATCATGTGGAAAATATTATTAAATTAGTGTAAAGAGGGAACAACTTCTAGTTGTATGAATTTCTTGTCAAGCTTCATGAAAATTCAGCAAATGGTTCACAAGTTACTATGCATGTAAACATGCATCTACACTAAATCCACAAGCACCAATTTGATGACTTACGTTGATTTTATCTCCCCTATGGTTAGCTCTCAGAGGCAAGCTGATGCCATATATTTTGATCTGAGCAATGCATTCGACCTTGTCCCACATTCTCTTCTTCTTCACAAGCTTAGTGCTATTGGACTTTCTGGTGGATATGTAAGCTGGTTTCACAGTTACCTATCCAACTGGAAATCCCAGGTCCATGTTTCTGGTGTTCTTTCCTCACCTTTTGAAGTTCTCTCCGGTGTACCTCAGGGATCTGTCTTGGGACCCCTTCTCTTCAATGTGTTTATAAATGACATGTGTGATGCAGTTGCCCATTCTAAGTGTCTGCTTTTTGTTGATGACGTCAAAATTTACTGAACCATTAGTTCCCCTCATGACTGCTATCTACTTCAGTCTGACGTTAACTCTATACAAGGTTGGTGCATTGCTAACTGTATGAAACTCAACATCAGTAAAACTAAAGCTATATCCTTCTCCATGTAAACCAACTTACTTATCTACGATTATAAACTTCGTCAAACATTAATAGCCCGGACCGATTCTGTAAAAGACATGGGAGTGTTTATTGATGCTAAGCTATATTTCCATGACCAGGTCAATTACATTTTCTCTCAATGTGCGAAACTTTTGGGTCTAGTTCGTAACATTACCTTCAATTTCTCATCCCTAGACTGTATGTTCAGATTGTACACTGCGTTAGTTAGATCTAAGCTTGAATATGTGTCCACAGTCTGGAATTTGATTATGTAAACTGATGCCAACAAGCTGGAATGCATCCAGCAGAGGTTTGCGGCCCTTTGTTTTAAACGTTTCTTTCCTCAAGTTCATTACAATTATTCTTTTGCTCTTGAGGAGTTAAAATTGCATACTTTATGTATTAGGAGACATCGCCTTGATGCTCTCTTTCTTATTCAAGTTTATTTTGGCTCTAAATTCTGCCCTTCTGTTCTGCAAATTGTTGGTCTCCGAGTTCCTGCTCGGTATATCCTAGATTTTGCATTGTTCAATGTTTGCTCATCTAAAAATTGTCCCTCTGCTAGATGTGCAGCAGCTGCTAATGTTGTCTGCATGAATGTTGACGTATTCGGAGCCAGGAATGTTCTACCCAAACAAATTTTAAATATAGTATAACTGTTAGTAATTTTTTTATTATTTGCATGTCCAATAAAACAAAATGAATTATTATTATTATCCTCTGAAAATCTATACTATTCATTTCTTAAATAAATATTCATGTTTCATTTCTCACTTCTTAATAACACATAGTTTAATGATAATGAAATTATTATTACTCTTATAATTATCATTTATTTGTTTGTTTGTTTACTTTTCTTCATTATTGTGTTTTCCAAGTACTTACCTGTAATTTGTCTTTGACTTATAATGTGTTTGTCTATAATGCAATTACTTTCATCTGCACTGTGCTCTGTCTGTAATTGGCCTTGCGGCTGTTGACTCGGCACATAAATAATACAGAAATGAATTCAATTGAATTTTTAAGAATTCCTTAAGAAGACATCTGGTGTTGCACTGTTTCTACAAACTGGAGGAATTTTATTGTATAAATGGTTATTACATTTTTCATTTGCATTCATTTTTTTGTAATCATATTCATTTATGTTCTAGGTCTGTGTTATGTATATTTCATATTATGTTACCTAGACTTGTTCCAATGATCAATTGGAACATTTGTTCTGATATGTGACACATTCTATATAAAACAGTTTGTGAATTCACTTCTCAACCTGTCTCTGGATCTGCTTGAATTTGAAATAAAAGAACAAGAACAGATACCATAAGCCTCCCTTTCTTTAACAAATTAGGAAAACAGGATCAAAACAAATATAAGTATTGCAATTTGGTTCTTATTGCATAGATTAACTTTTACATCATAAACTATATTAGATGCTACTGAGAAAAGTATGCATACCAACTGGCCATGTCTTGTTTTTTGCATCTTTCCAATCCTTTCTTTCTTCCTTATACTGAACAGCATACTTTCTTGTGGGAAGACCTCCATTGTCAGCTGGCCCAATGAAGGAGAATGTTATTGTGGTTGCTGCAACATTACCAAAGTTGGCAATATCTCAGATCTTTACAAAATCAGAAAGGGACGTGAATGTATTTAATTAACTCTCTCATTGCCAAACCAGGTGTAACAAGTTACTAAAGATCATGCCACTTCACAAGAGAGATATCTGAGACTTGCATTTTGTTGTTATCTTTTAGTATGAAGTACATACATTAGAAAAGCAGCCTTGAAGATTTTTTATCAAAAAAGGATTCACACCCTTTTGTTCAATTCTCCTGCAAAGCATAAGACTTGTGGAAAAAGTGTATTAGGGAAATCTGTGTTTAATTCTTATATACGAAAATCCATGAGAGGCATTGCAAGTTATACGCAAGTTACATTTTAAGCATGAGCAGAAATGCTTATAGATATCTATGTAAAAGATGGTTACTGTTGTCTGGCTTTGATCAAAATTGGAACGTGCTGACAAATTTTAGTAAAACTGCCAAATATCAAATGGTATGAAAATCCATTCAGTGATTCCAGAACTGTTACATGTGGACAGACAGACTGGTAAAAGTGAAGTAACATATTTTTGCAAGTCATCACTGCAAATGCATCAAAAATGATTCTGAGTCATATACAGGTGTCCCAGGAGGAATGGACCAAACTTCGGGAGGGTGTCCCTTATGTTAAAGTATGCCGATATAACCCAAAACACCTATGTCCAAAGTTGAACAGTTACGGAGATAATGGCCAGAGAAGTGTCAAACTTTGACCACTGTTACACACTTGTTGATTACAAAATACATATTAAAACTGGCAGGAATATGTGGATTCCGTAATGTTAATAATGTACGTAACATCAAACTAACTTGTGAGTGACGTGAAGTCATAAAATTTAAGTACAAAATACTCGCTCGCCATGTCATAACTGTCCTTAGGGTTTCCAAGCAGTATACATGACACATGACTGGCGAGCGATGACGTAATATGGCTGCGCTATAACCCGACCACATAACTATTATACGTACATTCACGGATAATCTCTTTTGGAATTTCGTTTCCATTATCTCATGTGGATTATTATGGGACCACGTATGCACATTTCGTAAATTATTTACACCGTCCAGGGTAAAACACGCCTCATCACTACACATGACACATGAATGGCAAGCGCTGGTGTAACATGACTGACTGCATATTCTGCTATAAGCCAACTACATAAGTATTAAAATACAGTACCTGCTTTATAGTAATTGTTCGAAGTGTCCTCCGCCAGCTGCAACGCAGTTTTTGGCACGCTTCATGAGGGACTGGGTAGTAGAAGCAATGTTGCCTGAATGGTGACGTATGTGCTCTGCCGCTGCAAAAATACGATTCTGCAGTGCTTCTCGTGAATCGACCTTAGTTTCGTAGACTAAGGTCTTCATGTGGCCCCAGAGGTAATAATCTAGAGGCGTAAGATCTGGTGACCTTGGTGGCCATGCAATGGGACCACCACGACCTATCCAGCGGTTAGGGAAGGATTCATCTAAGTAGTGTCTCACGTGCTGAGTATAATGTGGAGGAGACCCATCATGTTGGAAGTACATTTTCCTCCTTATCGTTAACGGGATGTCTTCCAACAAACATGGTAACTCATTCCTTAGGAAGGCTCCATACGTGTTTCCAGTTAAATTGTTGTGAAACACAAAAGGTCCGATCAACCTGTTCCCAAGCACACCACACCATACATTCACAGAAAAT